ATCCCTCCAGCCCTTTCACCAACCGTTCCTCCTAAAGCACCCACCATCTCTCTCCTGGTTCAATAAGTCACTGCAGTGGCCGCACACAACTCACAGATTACGGGGTTTATTAGGGAAGCACCAGGCTACAATTCAAATTCAGGAAAAACTCTCAGTCTCTCTCGGCCTGCCGTGTCTCAGCCCACAGCCTCTCTCCCAGGAGTGCGTGTCCCTCAGTGCTCAGTCCGCAATGCGTGTCTCATGTCTCTCCCAGCAGCGTATGTCTCAGGAGCACGTCCTCAGCCAGCAGTCAGAGAGACCCCTTCTGCCTCTAGGAGGCCTGCTTTTGAGCCTGGCAGAGTAGCCAAACTAACCAATCGTAACATCAGAATTCTGAGCACCTGAGAAAGCGCGTGAACTTCCCAGAACATTGCTTTGTGCTGCTCCCAATAGAAATACCCCAGGATGGATGATTTTAACAGTCGGAAGCTACTCAGTTTCTCACAGCAAATTCCGCCACGGAGTTTACAAAGACTTAGGCTAGAAAAGGCGCACCAGGTCATTTACTACACCGCGCCAGCCTAGCTGCTCCTGTGTCTACCCATCAAAAGCCAGAATTTCTACGTGGACGTTTGGCGTGGACCAGATTGAACCCCAGTGGGTGTGATCGTACCGAGGGGAAGACAAGGTACAGCTGGGGAGGCTGGCGGTGAGATTCAGAAAGCCTGTCCCACCAACAGGCCCAGGACGCTGGAACGCCCCAGTTCCGGGAGGCCAGGCCCGCGTGCACAGGGGCCACTTGGTAATGCCAGGTGCCTGCCGAGCCAGCCCACCGCTGTGCTCCACGGGGCCTGTGGGGCTGGGTTTTGGATGCTAATCTGCAGGCCTCTCTTCATAGTCTCTCAATCTGTAAGCTCCGCTGAAACCTGTTTGGCATCATAGTGACACGTAAGCCTCTGCTGACAGCGGGTGGTGGCCGCACGTGTATTGGCAGGAAATGGAAGCCGGGTCTCCCGTGTGGAAGGCGAGAATTCTGCCCCGAACCACACCGTCGTCTTGGAAGACGCCCGAGCCTCACTGCTGCTGCCTTGCCGGGGGCTGCCAGCCGGGCCTCCTGGGTTCACTCGGGCCGCTCTGTCTCACGACCTGTCGAGGTGCACTTTCCTGCCAGGCAGCTCCAGGGTGAGGCCGAGGCACATTGAAGCTGGCCTCCATGGCATGCAGCCACCCCAGGAAGGAGTTCAGACCAAAAGGACTGGGTGATTCTCTTAAGGAGTGGCTTCTCCTGCCCAGCCAACGTGGAAAGAGTCAGGCACCTCAAGCACCAGGTGGAGGGAAACGGCTTAGAGACTGCCCAGTGGGGAAGGGCTGGGGAGGCATCAGAGGTCACTAACCGACTCCCGGATATGATGGTGCCATGTCCTTCACCGGAGCGCCCCTTACCTAGCCCACACCCAGTCTGTGGTCAGGAAGAAGCGGGCTGCCTGGAGACGGACAAGCCCACGAGTCTGTGGGATGGGCAAAACCAGCCTGGCCGGGCACGTTCTCCATGAGCCCGAATAACTGCTTCCCCGTGGGCCCCCTGCCCTACAGGACACAGGCCTGCTCACAGGGCCTTCTGCGGCAGGAGGCGTCTGGTCTCAAGTCGGTGGTGGCGTGGGCCTCGCTGGCCCCGGGGCTCAGATAGCTTCAGGCACGAGGAGCGGGGAAGCTCTGAGGGTCCTGGAAAACCTGACCCTGTTGTCACCCCGTGAGCTGCCTCGTGGTGACTGCATGTTTATCATAGCAGAGCTGCTCCCCAGGGCTGGCTTTATTTTACAACCAGTTCACATCCTGTACGACTGAGCTGGTGAAATGGACCGTGGAGTTGGCTGTGTTCACAGGCTTGTGTAGCCGTTGTAACTGTCGATCTGGGAACGTTTTCACCGCCCCGGAAAAAGCCCCCATGCCCACTGCCAGCCCCCCCCATAGGGTTTTCAATGGTCGGATTTTCAGGAGATTGCTGGGCCTGTCCTCCGTGCGGCCCTGCATGGACTTGAACCTCCAGCCTTTCTGTTAACTGTTTGCACCACTCGGATCCCTGAAAGCCTTGGAAACGAATGGGTACAAAGGACGCACAAAGCAGCCCCATCTGGGGCCTCCGATGGGTGTCAGAGATGCCACGTGGAAACCACTGAGCACTTGGCAGGCTGCTCCCGGCCCTGCAGAGTGTGATGTGCTGAATGAGGGCCCCACCGCAGTGCATGGTGAAGGCCAGGGTGCTGACAGCCCCAACAGTGAGCCACCTCCCCTCAGAACAAGCTTCTCACGACAAGTCACTTCTGAAGTCGACGTCAGGAGGCAGGCAGAGGGGGCAGTGAGCGTGGAGGGAGCGAACCCCAGCCCTGTGACGTGGTGAGGCCGCCAAGTGTGGAGACGTTGCCGATTGTAATAAGCTGCTATCCGCTGAAAAAACAAAAACCCAGCAGGTGGGACCCAGCCCAGGCAGTGGCCTGCTCCTAGGAGGCTGCTCTAAGGGCACCCAGGATGCAATGACAATTGACAAGACTGCCATCACTCACATGACCTGCCTGTAGAGGTTGGGGGGTCACCAGACTTGAGACTAGGGACACCTCCAAACCTGGGTGGATGTGGGCCAGCAAGGAGCCACCATCGTCCAGGCCTGGATTTGTAGACAAGACCCTGACGACCTTCTGACCCCCCATCTCCTACTGATTGGTGGGCTGCCGCTGGTGGAGAAGTTGGCAAGAGCCCAGATGCCCCAGGGACAGGCTAGTCGTCATCCCTAGCTCTGGCCACTGAAGGCCTTGCTTGGAACCCTGGCAGAGCCAGGCCAGCTGTGCGGCCTGCCCGTTTCTAGAACTTCCCCTGAGCGTGCTGGAAGCCACAGGCCATGGACGGGACCCCCACAGTCAATGCCCATGGTCCAGCAGCTTGAGCCATTGTGGTCCCTGGAGTCAAACCCTTGTGTGGTCTTGGGAGGGTCCTAGCAAGTATGGGGAAGCCCTGGCAGAGCTAGGCGGACCCCACGGAGGACAAGCCCTGCAGCTGCCTGGTCCCCCTCAGCCCCACAGCCAGGGACCCCAGGGAAAAAGGCCACCACACAGGCTGAAAACTTTTATTTGGCTTGTAAAACTCCACATTCTCAGATGTGTTCCTCCCAGGCAAGAGGTGCAGGGACCTGCTCTGGGTCCCTCTTAGCCAGGGCTCGGCCCAGACCACCCGAGGCTGCTCGTGATGGGCCCCACCTCAGCCCACCAGCAGCGGCAGCATCCTTGGCCGGCCACCCTCACTCGGACCGCCGGCCACTGCGCCGGCTGCGGTTGTCCTGCCACACGCGATAGTTGAGTGTGGCCGCAAAGGCCAGCCAGGCCAGGTACGGGTACAGCAGGCGAGCAGCCGGCGGGCATACTTGGTGCCAGGCCACAGTGGTGGCAGCCGCTGCCCCACCCAGCAGCAGGAGGTCCACCAGGGCCTGCGGAGACACGGGCAGGTCAGGGAGGCTGACGCGTCTGCACGGGGCGGAGGGTGGCCAGGCTGTCCACCTGCTGGACTCGGGGAACAGTGGAACCCCGACCTTGCCCTCAGGTGACCCGGCCAGGCCCCCAGCCCCTCTCAGCTTCAGTGTCCTCCTCTGTGACATGATGTGCATGACAGTATCGTGGGTACAGCATGTTCGAGGCCAAGGTGACTGTGCAGGCTCCCAGGCACCTCCCGAGCCCACAGAGGGGCAAGCCGGCACTGCCAGCGTCACTGGGAGGCCCAGGCAAGATCACAAGAGGGAACCGCCTGCCAAGAGGTGACAGCGACTGGGGTCACTCCCTGTGCATGGATCCCATGAACTCAGCAAAGATCTTAAAAGAAGCAGATGTTGAACTGGGGGAGGTGGCCCCCAGGCCCCTCATCTCCCCAGGCATGGTATTAAGTGCCGTGTGGGATTTGGTGATGGAACAGCCCCAAAAAACAAGTGGAGGGAGCTCTGGTGACACAGTGGTTAAGGCATTTGGCTGCTAATCAAAAGGTCGGTGGTTTGAACCCACCAGCCACTCTGCAGGAGAAAGATGAGACAGTCTGCTTCCATAAACGTTTGCAGCCTTGGAAACCCTATGGGGCAGTTCTACTCAGTCCTCTGGGGGCGCTGTGAGTTAGGATCACTCGACAGCAGTGGGTGTGGTTTCTCTTTGAATTTAAACAGCTGTAGCCAGAGCCCCAAGGAAAAGCTGCTAAGAGGTGTGCCAGAGCATCAGCCCAACAAGCTTCTAGAGAGCCATTCTGACCACGAGCCGGGTGCCACCCTCACCTTGAGACCCTGACCCCATTGAGATATGATGTCCCCATGTCCCCCCGAGAGAGGCCAACAAGACAGGCCGAGGCCACACTTACCCAGCCCATTTGGTGAGCACCAAAGAAGATGGGGGGCCATGCCCAGTTCAGGGCCAGCTGCCCAGCGTAGAGGCCCAGGGGGACCACAGCCTCCTCTGAGAAGCCCCCCAGCTCTTTCCAGACCATGTAGGAGCCATACCTGCAATAGAGCTGCCCGTCAGAGCACCCGTGGGGAAAAGGACAGGAGCATCCCTGGCTCTGAGTGGTCACAGTGAGGTTTCCTTGGGGGAGCCCAGTTCATCGAGGGAATCAGAAGTTCTGCTCAGGCACTGACGCTGTGTGACTTCAGGGAAGTTGCTTGACCTCTCTGGGTTACCTCACAAGGTTGCTATGGGATGTGTTAACACATTTGCTGTGCTCAGGGGGGTGCCTGGCACATTATCGTCATCATCAGTGCTGTAAAAGGGGAGGTACATGGGCCTGCAGGTGAAGAGGATGCTCCTAAAGTAGCCAGTGGTGCTGCACAGAGGACAGAGCATTTGGGCTGGGCCCTGTAGGATGAGTAGGAGTTTGCCGGTGGGAAGAAACAGAATTTGCAAAGGCTTAAAAGCAGGTGCAAGACCCTGAGTCAGTCTAGGTGACCACAGGCTAAGGTCTGGGGTGCCGGGAAGAGGGGAGGACTGGAGAGGTGGGTGATGGTCTGGTCCTGGGGGCTCTTCTGGCAGTGAGAGCAATACCACCACCAATAATGGCTCATGCCCTCTAGTTCTTATGTGGGCCTGGCACTGCTCTGGCACTCTCCAAACCTCACCTCATTCTGCCCTATGATGACACGGTGAGCTGGACAGCACCACCTCCCCATTTCATAGGTGAGGGAACTGAGGCAGAGAGGTGAAGTCACTGCCTAAGACCTCTCAGGACGTGAGCCCAGGTGGCCTGAGGCCAGAGCCCAGCTCTTAGCTGGCAGTGAGAGGGGTGACCCTATCCAGGGCCACAGGGAGCTGCTGGGGGAGGGAGTGGCTGGCTCTGCCGTGGGCCTCATCGGGGTCTTCACGGTGGAAGGTGCGTGTGAGAGGCTGGAGCACGTGCAAGTACCACCAGCAGTGCCCAGGCCAGGATTCTCCACCAGGCAGGGCCTGGGGGGCGGCAGGGGTGGGGCTGGGTCCCAGGTAACACCCAGGTTGAGGGCATCCGGAGGCCTGGCCTCTGCTACCCGCTCTGGGAGGAGGCCCTGTGTTGGGCGGGCAGAGCCCACAGGCAGGCAGGAGGCTGACCGCACCTCCCAGGCGCAGTTCCCAGAGGAGCCACTAGGGGGTGCCCTCCCTGGTCGGCACTTCCTTTCCTCTAGGACCGTCCCAGCCGGCCTCTGAGGCGCAGAGACGGAGAGGAACAGATGGGCAGGCAGAGGGGCTCCCGCAGGTAGCAGGTTCCCTACTTGTAGTCCCGCGTCTGGGGAAAGTCATGTGTCCCTTCCCTGTAAAAGGAGGATTGTGAGGACGAGTGGAGACGAAGGCTGCCACCCAGCCAGGGCACAGTGCATGGCAACCGGGAAAACCTGTTGCCATGGAGCCGACTCCAATGCGTGGCGAGCTGCCAGCGTCAGAGACCTGGGCGCCCCAGGGTCCTTACTGGGGGATTTTCCCACGGAGACGACCAGGCCTGCCTTCCTAATTTGCTGGAGTCTGGAAGCTCCTTGAAACCTGGTCATCACCATAGCAACACACAAGCCTCCCCCCCCCAGGGACAGACAACCGGCGGCCCCACTTGGGGTGTTCTGACCAGGAACTGCACCCGGTCTCCCACACGGAAGGTGAGAACTCGACCACTGAGCCGCCTGACCAGTTGCCCTGGAGCTGACCCAGCCTCCTGGCGACCCCGTTCTGTTGGAGGAAAACTGTGCTCCGGGGCTTTTCAGTGACTGGTCCTTTGGAAGCACACTGCCAGGCGTTCCCCACCCAGCACTGCAGGGTCGACTCAAGTCAAGCGTGTGAACCATCTGCACCCCCCTAGGGACCCCCGACGCACGGCAGCGACTATTACTGCTGCCAGGTCTGTTATCTTCAACCGAACTGTTACCAGAGGCGGCCGCGCTGCTGTCCACAGCAGCACTGACACAGCTCTGAGCGGGACACACGGACGCCGGCTGAGCCTGGAGTTGTGAAAACAGCCAGGATTTCAGTGTGGAGTTGAGCCATCGCCGAGGCCTCTAGGGGGCCCCAGGAGAAGAAAGCTGGGTTGTGCAAGCAGCGGGCCCCACGGCTTTTTCCTTCCTGGTAGCTGCCAGGTAGGTGAAACGCTCGCTCCAGGCTGCCCAGACCAGCTCCCCGGAGATGGCCCCGGGGCCAGGCCTGCCCTCTATAAGGGGGATAGCCCTGCCCAGCCTGCTCCGGGTGACCAGGCCCCATTGTGCAGGTCAGCCCCGGCCTACCTACCCCATGGCCGAGTAGAGCGTGGCCCAGATGGGGCCGATCACCCAGTGGGGTGGGTGCCAGGAGGGCTTCTGCAGGCTGGCGTACCAGCGAAGACCCTCTCCGCGGACAGGGCTGGAGCTCAGGAAGGCCCCCAGGCTGGGCACCAATGTGAAGCCCACAGCGGGCACCCAGGACGGGGCCATGGCTGCTGCAGTCGCTGCTCCAGAAAGTTCTGAAAGAGAAGACGGGGCTTTGGTGAGAGAATGAGGTGCCCCACAGCAGGGCCCCACCAAGTAGTCCCCAAGGACCTGCTGTGCACCCGGCCTCCCTCAGCGTCCCTGCAAGTCCTGGGGTAGATCTGTCATAGACCCAGTACACCGACGGGCACGCAATGCAGACGTGCAGAGTGGAGGTGGGAGGGAGGGAGGGGCTGCACTCACACCCACTGCCCTGCCCTCCTCACCCCAGGGCTCCAGCGAGCAGTCTTCCATCCTGCCTCACCCAGAGGGCTGCCCTGCGCAGCCGGGCGCCTGGGCTGCCTCCTCGCCACTGCCAGCTGCGAGGGTGCTGCCCGCTCCCACTCTCCCCCTTGACCGTGGGTCTCTGGGCAACACAGCCCCTCCTCTCTGCCACTTTGTTCAAGGCCAAGAAGCTTCCCCAAGGCCGAGTGCCGGCCCCTGGGGGCTTCCTCTCAGACTGCTGATGGCCCCCTTTCACTCCCAAAAAGCGTCCCTTTTACAAGTAACAAGGTTAACACGGGGACCCCGACACAGCTCGCCCACAGAGGTGGGCCACACTTCCGTGGCTGTCCTGCCCAAAATGCATGACCCTGTGAGAAAACGCCAAACAATCGTACACAGTGGAACGTTCTACAAAACAACCGCGCACGACTCCAGCATCTCCTAAAGTGCCAAGGTCGTGAAAGATAAGGAAAGATGAGGGAACCGTCCCAGACCCCAGGAGTGCGGGCCCGCCCCTGGTGCAATCCTGGGACAGACTGAGAACATCCGTGGAAAAGTGGGTGACGTTGAGCCGAGGTCCGACCTGAGTCACTAGCATTGCACCAGTGTTCGTCGTCTGGTTTGTCATCGGACGATCAAAGGCGGCAGGTGAAGGGTGTGCAGAACTCAATGCTACTTTTGCAACTTAGTTCAGATAAAACATTTAAAAAACTAAAATAAAAATAATAAATCATCTGAGCCCCTAACCAGCTGCCAGGGAGTCCACGCTGATGCACACTGACTCCACACGGGCCAGAGTGGAACCAAGCTCGTAGGGCTTCCAATGGCCGATTTTTGAAACTCAATTGCCAAGCCCGTCTTTCAAGCCGCCTCTGGGCAGACTCAAACCCCCAGCCTTTCGGGGAGCAGCCGAGCCGAGCATGTGCTCAGTCCCTCCTAAGTCCCACCTGGGTCCCCCTGGTGCCCTGACACCTTCCCCTGGCTCCCCCTCTGCCCTGGAGTTGACCCTGACTCGTGGAGACCTCGTGGTCACCGAGGGAACCTGTGCTCTGCAGTGTCCTGGGCTGCAGTCGTCATGGAAGCAGACCCCCAGGACTTTCTTCCACGCCCCACTGGGTGGGTTCGAGCTGTCAGTCATCAGCAGCCAAACACAGACCGTGGGCACCCCCCAGGGACCCACCTACCACAGAGGCCCCTCAGACCCTCCCTTTGTACCACATTACTCCTGCTCTGAGACCCTGGGGGGTGCCCCTCATTTTAGGGCCAGGGGAGCTCATGTCACCCTCCCACAGCACCCAGTTAGGGCCAGGCACACAGTCGGGGTTCAGGAAGCCCCAGAGGGCTGGCCCGCTGCTCCAGCTGATGGGGTGTGGTGCTCACCACCCAACTGCCCTGTTGTTCAGAACGCAAGGCCTCCAAAGGGGTGGTGACCTTCCACAGGCCTGAGCCCAGTGCGTCCCCCACCCCGCAGACTGCCAAACATGGAGGGCAGCCAGCTGACACGGCTTCCTCTAGGCGGGAGCTTCCTGAGGGCCCTGGGCACTTCTCAGATCCTGACTCACCGCAGTGGGGTACGGTGGGCAGGGCCGGAGCCCGGTAAGCTGAGTCATGCAGGTTGGGCTGGGCAGGCCCCAGAGAAGTCCAATCTGAGACCGGGCTCAGGAAGAGCTGGGAAGGGGCTCTGGGCTCCGGCAAAGCCCGCATCAAACCTGCAGCCACCTCCCCATGTGCTCAGAAGGGGAATAAGAACCGAAGCCTTAGTGTTGCCTCCATTTGCTTGGTGAGAACTCCCGTAGCTGGGCCTGAGTTTCCTCCTACATTGCCCCCACATGACAACTTGCCTGAGAAACTCTAGACAAGTGAGGGGTATGGATATCAGTGTCAGGGCCACTCACCCCATTTCCTCTGAGGGAAGCAGTGGCTCAGGCCAGGCCCAAGGCTGAGCCCACACAGGCCACGTCCCCTGCTTGAACTCCTGTGAGGAATGCCCTTCACAGAAGGTCTCCTTTGGGGTCAGGGGATAAGCACAAGGAAGTGTCCCCTAAACAGAGGCTGGGAACAGGGCAACGCAGAGGGCTCAGGGCTTGTAGAGGGTTCTAGGCCTTGCTCCACTCCAGCTACTCCCGGGCCCCTGAACACAGCACCTGGTGGGATGTGTTACTTCAATGATTCTTCACGGTGGCCATAGGGGACGGGGCTCTGGGGTGCCTCTCCCTCTTGGGCCTCATAACTGCTCCCATTTCCCAGATGAGGAAACAGAGGTGCAGGGAGTCATGGCACTTTCCAGCTCTGTGTGATCCAAGGCCCACTACACCCCTCCTCCATCTTCAAGAGGAAACAAGGAACGGGCACTCAATGGGGTCTGCTGGGCCAAAGCACTGGGCCTCATGCGCCCAGCACCAGGGCCACCCCCTTCACCTCACCCCGCCCCGGCTTAGCCATCGGCCCTCTGCCTGGTGCCAGAAGATTCAGCGTCAGTCTCTCCACTCCCAGTGCCAATGTGTGGGTACCACACCCTACTTCAGGGGGCGGGCAGCTGTTCCCGAACCTGCAGCCACCTCCCCATGTCCTGTGAGGTTTCACTCCTGGCCAGGAGAACCCAGGTCCACCCCTGTCCCTGGGGTCTCACTTCCTGACTGACCTCTGTGTTCCCATCTGGGAAAGGGGGGCTGACTGAACCGCAGGCCCCCAGGTGGGCCCTTGTTTTCCATTGAAGTCTCATACAGAAGGTAACAGAAAACACGAGCCAGAAACAAAATGAAGAGTTTTGCTCGGAAACCCTCCCTCCTGGACCCAGCAGCCCCCAAAGGGCCTTCTGTCACCCTGGAAGCCACAACTGGCCCACTGTTTTAGGCCTTACTGTCTTGAAATAACTCATGACTAATCCTCCTCTTTGGGAGCTCTGGTGGTGCAGTGCCTAAGGCATTTGACTGCTACCCAGATGTCTGGCGGTTCAAATCCACCAGCCACTCCTCAAAAAGATTAGGCAATCTACTTCTATAGAGATGTTGTTGTTGTTTTTATGTGCTGTCCAGTTGGCGCATATGGCTGGGGGGTTTGAACCACCAGTATTCTGGTTAGCAAGTGCCTTAGGCATTATGCTACCAGAGCTCCTTCCATAGAGATACCACCTTGCAAACCCAAGGAGAGGTCACTAAGAGACGGATCCGACTTGAAGGCAGTGACTTTGGTTATTTTGGGAATCCTCCTCATTATAATCTTTGCAAAACTTTAATTGTGAAAGTAACTAGCTTTGGAAAAGTTCTGGAAGGATACACTGGGGGCGGGCAGGGTTGGGGGTCTTGTGGACCAAGGTGGGGATCTGCTTTATGGGGACTGACTGCTTTCATCAACAAAGAGAGAGGGTCTAGTGGATCACACAGTCCAAGGTAAGGAGAACACAGGAGACTGGCAGGATCAAACATCAAATGACAAAGCAACGTAATTGTGGGGAACAGGTCTCCCGCCCTGTCAGCCAAGCCCTCACATCCCTGAGGGAGCCAATGTCAACAGTGTCGGGAAGATGCAGCGGATATTGTCCCTTCTCGGCCCACTGCAAACGTGTGTCCACCCCACACGCACTCCCACAGCTCGCACTCACACCACACACAGCAGGAGAGAAAGGGGCGTGGCCTCCGCGGCTGGGGGCGGGGCGCGGGCCGGGAGCCCACCGTGGGACCACGCAGGTCCGGACCCTGGCGCCCACTCCAGCCACGTGCCCTGGGACAGAGGTCTGTGGGGGAGCCTCGGTTTCTCCCAGCTCAAAGGGCTCCCTTGGGGACCCGGATTCCCTCCGAGGCGCCCTCTGGGGACTCAGAAAGACGTGCCTGCCTCCCCTCCGCTCACTTCCGCCTCAGCTCTTCTGGCCCCGGAGCCGAGAGCTCCTCCTGCGCCCTGCCTGAGGTGGGGGACCGCCCTCAGCTCCACAGACGCCCCGCCGTGTGGCCGAGCGCCCCGAGCGGATGCTGCTGAACAGCCGCCGTGGACACCCTGTCCTTGCCCATGACCCTGTCCGTGCAGACTCGTCCCGCAGCCCTAGGGGAGGCTCCAGTCCCGCCCCTCCCAGAGCACGAGGCTGGTACCTAGCTTCGAGCCTTTCCTGGCCTGGAAACGAAGCCAGGGCCATGCGCTTCCGCCAAGCTGGCCCCCACACTCAGCAGTCTGTTCATGGCGGGCAGCCCCACGTCCCCTCCAGCCCTACCCGAGTTCCTTTGTGCAACCGGCAGGAAGCAAGTTGGTCCTGGCGGCAGGGAGGTCCGCTCCCGTTAATCCAGGCTAGAGCGCCTGACCACTGCACTGGGAATCCAGGGACTCGGGTGGCGCAATGCCTAAGGCACTTGACTGCCAACCAGAAGGTTGGCGGTTCACACCCACTAGCCTCTTTGCGGAAGGAAGATGGGGCAATCTACTTTCGTAAAGATTTACCGCCTTGCTATGAGTCAGGATCGACTGGATGGCAGTGAGTTCGGTTTGGGTGCCGCTAAGCGGCAGTGTTTCGTTCTGTTGTACGTAGTAGGGTCACTATGAGTCGGAGCCGACTAGCCGGCACCTACCCAGTGGCTTTGGGCGAATAACACCCAGCGCCGGCCCGGTGTTCCTCCCACTGAAACGGGAGTGGGGTGCCTCCCAGTGGGTCCTGAGCTCCAGGCCTCCGTGACATTCTGAGCCTAAGGGCGCCCCCTCGCGGCCGCGGGCCTCTCCCGCGCTCGCCTCGCGCGTCTGCGCAATGGGGGCGATTCTGG